TACACCATTCCATACCTGTTCAGTTTCTGTATCTACGTATGTGATCACTTGTAAATTTTTGTTTGCTATTACTGTTGTTACAGGACTGTGTGTGTATTAATATTCACCATTGTTGTGCTACCTCCTCGACACCAGTGTCTTTCTTTGCCTTGGTCATGATGTGGTGACCTCTTCCATACTGTCTTTCTCTCGATCCCAATTAATATACATCTGATAGTCCTGATGTGGCGCTATAAATAAGCACTGGACTGTGAACCCTAAGGTGAGCAGTTCAAACCCACCAGCTGCTCCTTGGAAACCTTATAGAGGGTCACTATGAGTCAAAACGGACTCCATGGCACTTAACAACAGCAACAGCTATTTAGTTGGAGTCTTGGAGTGGCGCTGTAATGACCTCAAGGTTGATGGTTCATATCCATCAGCCTCACTTTGGAAACGCTGTACAGGTCCTGGGAGTTGGAACTGGCTCAACAATACTTAACGAAAACAAAGAAAACTATCTAGTTAAGCGATTTTTTTACCCTTAACGTTGTTTTCATCTTTTTGCTATTGTGAATACTGCGATAAACATGAGTGTGTATTGTTGGGGTCCGGCATCGACAAGGGGTGAGTACACGAAGGTGGGGTATCTGGCGACGAGAGAGAGAGAGAGAGAACAGACACAAAGAAGACAGACACACAGGTTTGATGCAAGCTGCCAGACAGACTGTTTGGTGGCAGACATGGCACTCAAAACTAACTCTAAGTGGGATGTCTGGAGGGGCAAGAGAGAAAGAAACACTTGGAGACCAAAGTGGATACAAGCTGACAGGCAGATAGTCCTGTTGCCAAGAATGCACGCAGAACTATCTCTACCCCAGTCTTTTATTAACTTTTTTCAAGGAGAAATTCAAGGACAGGACACAACGACTCTCAGGAACAACCTTTAAGATATTTTCTAGGTACAACACAATTCTCTTAGCAATCTAACATTTTTATTTCTATAGGAAAAGGTTCAAGCAAGCTATTATAGATTAATCTTTAGGCCTAAAGGACATCTAACATACTTTTAACACT